TAACAGTGGTCTGCAAATAGGCAGGGAGGAGGAAGGACAATGACAAATCTTTGCTCTCTTCGACACTCAGAGTTGACATAAAATTCCGCAAAATGATAAGGCAGATTTTTTTTTGGTTAAGGGCAGGCTTTGGCAATTTGATATAGCAAAAACACTTAAACTTGGAAGACATTGACATAACGACCTTCACGTAGATTAAGTTAATTAATGGTTTCAAAATGATAGCTTATACGTCTTACAAACATTCTGTTACGCGTTTTACTCTTATAATAGTAGCTGATGTTTATTTATTTATTTTTTTGATTTATTTTCAGTTATTAGAGCTTTTCTTTCATTCTTATGTAATGGACTGTTTTTTTTTTAAATTTGAAAGTTTATCAGACAAATGATGGGATAAAATTTTACTGTACTCTTAGTTACGAATGGCTGCTGTTGAAAGTGTTTGTTGCTAGGTAATTTTTAATTTATAAAACGGAGGAAATTATTTATAATTGGAATTTATTTTTGTAAATTGATTTATTCGTGAAATAAAGCGGCTTCTTGATGTTTATGGAAACAGTTTGAGTTGATTTTTGAACATTTAAACAATAATTTAATTAGTGCTGCTGGTAAGTTTGTAGAGCGAGTTAATGTAACAAGTATTATTAGTTTTTATTCGTCTATTTTTACAACTATGTGCGAACAACTCGTTGTATTAATGCGGATCATATTGATATCTAATTTTTTTTTAGCGTATGGGGAATTTCTGTCTGGAAGACCTGGTGAAGGATCTACGGTGGCTCAATTGGTACTTACACAACTTTATGAAATTCAAAAATGGTTCCATAATCAACGGGTAGTTTCTGCTTTTCATAATTGTAACCAAAATTTCTTCACTTTTTTTTGTCAGATAAAACTGGTATGATTACTAATAGTGGCAGAGGAAATCTTGTAGACAGGCCTTGTTACGATGACAACTTTATCGTCTTGACCAAAAACTTTAAGAACTTGTAACTTTGGTTTTTAAAACATTTATATTATATATGGATTACTTTAAGGTGTACCACTTCTACGCTTCTTCAATACTAATAGTCTACGAAGCAAAACCACTGTCTGATCCAAGGCCACTTGTCAGGCTGATAGACTTTTCACACGTTTTTCCGTCGAATGGTAACTTAGATGATAATTATATTTTTGGCTTGGATAATGTGATTAGATTTATTGAGCAGTATCGTGACTTGACTCAACAGAAGAACTGATCACATTTAGGCAACTGAAAGAAATTAAATTATGAACAGATTCCTTGTGAATCTGTGATTTATTTTTTCATATACGGGTTTATTAATGTGAGTAATCAAACGCCTTACTATTAAATGATACTAGCAATTAACAAATTTTTAACCTAACTGTTAAATCGATTTTCGCTGTCCACTAATCTTTGTTTGGCAACTTGCTGCTTATTGTATTGTGCACAACTGCAGTAACACTTCACTTGCCTGTGGGCCCTATTTTTCATGGAAAAACTATTCGTTTAACGAGCTGGTACGGCATTTGTTGCTATTAAGGCCAAACAATATATACATTTTCCTTTACTAGCCTAATCAAAAATCTTTTGGCAAAGAATTACTTATATCCGGAAGCGGCATTTTTGTTGCACGAGATATAGTTAGAATTTTCTGAGTAATAGTAGAAGCACGGTTTTAAGAAGAAAGTGTCTTTAATTGATGAAATAAGCTTTAACCGACCATAAAACTGTTAACAGTCGTTCCAACAGTATCATATATCTAAGCGGTATTTTGTGCACCTTTGCTGGGAAATTATGCCAAATTGTCGCTGTGGCTGAGTTGTGGTTCTTTTGAAAAGCTATGTTGCATGCTTTTTTCTTTAATTTCTTGCTTTATTACGATGCAAAAGAATTTCATATAATTTCATATAATTCTAACGACCTTTATAAACCGTCTGCGTAGAAGTTTGGCACAGTAAACTTTGTCTTTATTGTTTTTAACCATTTTTTACATTATTCTTTATACTTGAACTTACTTTAGTAAGAAAAGAAACTTTTGCCGGAAATTTAACTGCAAAGAAAAAGCAGTTGCTTGTCATATATACGATAATAACTTGTTCTTTGAAGCTTATAGCAATTTTGAAATGCATGTTTTACGAGAAGGAAATATGTTAGAATGGCCTATTGTACAGTACTGTTGTTAACTTTGTCGTTTTTTACCTTACTGATGTTTATAGCAATACTGGTGTAAAAGAGGAAATATATTAATCAAATTGTGATTAAACCGGAAGAAAATCTATTGTATTTTTCTGAATTAAAGGTTATTTTTTTTGTTTTTGTTTCTGTAAGGGTGTCTAGGTAATAAAACGTCGATCGTATTTGTTAATCATCTTTCACCATTGTCGTCATAACCACCGGTAGCAGAAACAAAGGGTGGTAGCTGTTCTGTAATATTTATCTGAGCTGTTGACCATGGCATCTTAGATAGTCGCAACTTTCATTAACTGTTAAAACGGATGATTAGAAGCCGTTGTTGTTGTTGTTATCGCTATTACTTGTAATTTTCAAAGAGAACGCTTAAGTTTTTGCAAAACCTACAAACAGGACACCAGCTGCGAAACTCGCACTGTACCTCGTTTTTTAATAAATGTTTTTCTACTTGACAACTGCAAAGACAAAGAGTATGTGTACGCTGTGGACCTTTGATGACGTCCGATATTGCACAATTGTGACGGATTTATTTTTATTCTTTTGTACAACTTTTCTATTGATACAATACGAAAATTATCAGTTTGGATATATACTTAATTTCTTCTGCCTTCTTTTGTGCTGTAACTATTGTAACCGTTGTATGACCTGATTGTTTTTGAGGTTATAAAAGTTGTTATTATCATTATTACGATTTATATTACGGCACGCTTTTGAAGAAATAAACATGAAGTTGTTACACAATTTTTGCAATATTCTCTCCATCAGTTGCCAATCACAACAGTTGGGTATTCGCAACAGTAAGCAACTTGTATCTGTCTAATCATAAAAGTACACTATGACAAGCCTTTACAGGTAAAATGATTGTGTCCTTCACCGTCTTCAACAAACTTTTTGCTTTGTGAAATCAGTTAGAACAATTGCTCCTAAAATAAATTTTTGCTTCTGATGTTAAAATATATTGAAAGCTGCTGCTATAGAAAAATTTAAGACAGACATGCGGCTGCAAACTGGTCTGTTTGTACAGTCAAAGAACTTGAGACTTAGAACTGTATAATTCACAATGGATTAATTCTTGTGAATGTTTCTTCACCCTGGCACATTCTTCTAAATGGCAACCCTTATAATTAAATAGTCTAACAAAGTCGCTTTTAGCTTGTGAACTTCTAGTCAACTAATCTGTTACAATTTTACTTCGGAGCAAATTTCATCGCTCTCAATTTTCGCGCTTGGCAATTCTTGTCGTCGAGTGTGACAAAAAAAGCCTGAAACCTTCATTCTGAACTGCGGTCGGAGTGCTTTAATTAGAGTCTATGCAGACAATGACAGCATTTGGTCAACTATTAACAGCGGCGTACTCAGCAGTTATGACCGTGAAACCGTGTTTAGTACATAAGAAATGGAATCAGAGCACGTGACTTTTGAAACGTAAGTAAAATCTTTGTTACCTTTAACAAAAAACTCTAGCTTTATCTGATCAGCTTTTTTTTTTTTTACAAGAATGATCGGGAACCAACTAAACTACTAAACTAGCGTTTTTCTGTTCAATTCCTCTTTGATATGGTTACTGCTTCCTAGTTGGAGACTGGTGTAAGTCTTTTTTTCTTCCAGAAAAATTGATTTTTGGATTTCATAGAAAAAGTCTCTGATGCCGAAGTGTTTCTCAATCACTTATGTGGAAGCTTATCAACATTTTTTTGCTGAAATTGACTTTTTGCACAGTCTGAATTACTAATGTAAAAAGTTTTACAGAAGTAAATAATTGTTTAATTTATTATGGCTTGTAAAAATAGCTCTTTTATATCAAATAAAGTTGACAGGTAACAGAATCTCTAAAAAAAATCTTAAAGATAAGATTTCACTAGTTGCTTCTATATTATAAGTATCGTTACTCGTGACTGCGAGTGTTATGGACGTTGTTCTTGCTAAAATCATCCATTTTTTACTGCTTGAAGTTATTTATGATTCTAATGATGCTAGTCAAAGTTTTTTTGATATGGCTAAGTTTCGGTTTATTCAAGACTGTCTTCTATTTCCAATGTTTTCTGCTCTTTATTCTCTGGTGAAATTTAAAAGAACAGCTTCTGTATATACTTTCAGTAGGTTTTACAAAATTTCACACAATCATGTAGTAACCCCCCGTTAATCGTCATTTTTTTAAGAACATTGCTGATATTTCAAACGTCATAGCACTTTTTGAAAGCTTTTCAGGTTGAACAGTTCTTTGATGCTGTAATTATTAGATTGTTTAAGCTTTTTTTTCTTCGAATTTAGTGTTGAACTACGGTTTTACTTGTTTGCACTTTGTCATTAAATTGCTGCTGGAGAATTTAAATTCTTACTCTTTCTGCATTTATCATTGCTAGCACATTCCATGACTATGAGTAATCAAAGAAATCATTACTTTTAATCCTTGAAACCTACAATGTCAAACAGTTCAGGCTTAAATGAAAGTTCCAGCAAGAATTCTTATAACATTCAGGCCAATTCTTATAAAAACAACTGTAGAAAATCGTGCTTGAATATGACCGTCATTGATAGATGCTTTTGGGCATATATACTTGCAGAAATTCCAAAAGAACTGATATTTAATTTAAAAGAGGCAGATGGAGAGTGAAAAATATGGTAAAATTCCAGTATCTGAAACATCAGTCCCGATTATCCAATATAATTATGTTTTTCTCTAGTATATGACCAAATTGTTTCGGATCAGTACTGTGCTAACAAAGATCTAGCATCATCGTGGTTCGTGGTATTGCCTTAGTGTCGCTATTTCATAGCTGCTCACTGACTGCAGTACAAAAACTAACTCTTTACTCCATTAAATTTTAATACTGTCATAGTTATACTTTTCATTTCATACATATCCGTTCTTACAATCATCATACATAATTCATTTCTTGGTAGTAATTGAGAAGTAAGCAAAGAACAATTAATTTTCTACCAAATAGGAAGAGAAGAATACGCAAGAAAAACGATGTTTTTTGTCATACAATAACTTGCAGTTAACTGCCATCTTTCAATGCTTTGAGTTACTCTTAATCTGTCAGTGTTGACTTCGGCGTTTTACCAGCGTTCTAACTTTTGTCACCATCAGTAATACACGAATTACTTCAATAACCGCACCTCAACTATTGATTTTAAATGAATGTTTCTGAAAAGAATAAAAATGTTTCTGTGAATAAATTTATATACAAAAAGAAATTTCTGAAACCATTACTTCCTCAAGAGTCACTTAAAACATTTCTGGTTTTTTGAGTAATAAATCAACAAAACCTTTACTTACTTAAATTTTTGCATAAAACAATAACAAGTTCTTTAGGTCTTAAAATATTTGAACAAAGCAATTCCGGAAAAAAAAACAAATATTTTAAGATAGCATAAATTTGCAGTATAAAAACCTGTGCCTAAACGGTAAATATAAACCATTTGTGATTTTTTACTGCACCAAGCCTCCATCATCTTATCATTAAGGTAAAAAATACACTTAAGCCTAACAATTTTGAACTTCCCATTCCTTCTTCCACCCTCCTCAAAAAAGGATATGTCACGGGAACCAGTGATTCAAAAAACTATTTAATATAATAGAGCGAAATTAAGAGTTATCATCAGCTGTCCCTTCATTACTGGCACACAATCTCAGTTTAACAACTAATAATTTAACAAACCAAATGAAAACAAAATCCTGCTTTTTAGAGCTGCAGTTTGAACTGTTCAAAATGCGAGACAAAAATATAAACTGAAAAATAAACCGACTCAAATTTCAGTGAAATAGCCGAAATATGTAATGTAGTTTCAAGCTACTGTCCCGAGAGAGGCAGAATCGAGAGGAAGAACGTAAACTGAAAGAAAGAACAAATAAAAAGCAAGTTCGAATCTATGAACTGTCTGTACATTTCACTTTAGTTACTCAGCAAACTGCTAATCAGACTAAGTTTCATCTTTATTTGATACTTTTTTACTGAAAATTTCTTGCGCAATTCTGCAATAATCATATATGTTTTCATAATAAAAATGATATTATTTCTACCATAGTTTTTTTCTACT